TGGTGTTGGGCATGGATTGGCTCGGGAGTTACAAGGCGAAGATCTTGTGCAACGAGCATAAGGTGATCATGAAGAGCCTGAGTGGGAAGCGGGTATCATTCAAGGCAGTGACAAACAAACTTGATGTCAAGTTGATGACAATGCGGCAAATGAGGAGGTACATCCGGAAGGGATGCGAAGCATACATTTGTATGATGAAGAAGACCCACAATGAAGAGCAAACGATTGATCAGATCCCTGTGGTCAATGAATTTCCCGATGTATTTCCGGAAGAGATTCCGGGGATGCCTCCGGAAAGGGAGGTTGAGTTCTCCATTGACTTAATGCCGGGTACTACACCAATTTACAGGGCACCATACAGGATGGCTCCGAAGGAGATGCAAGAACTGAAAGAGCAACTTGAGGAACTACTCGATAAAGGCTACATCAAGCCGAGTGTCTCACCATGGGGCGCTCCGGTTCTCTTTGTCAAGAAGAAAGACGGTAGCTTGAGGCTGTGTATTGACTACCGAGAGCTGAACCGTGTTACTATCAAGAATCGATACCCTTTGCCCCGTATCGATGACCTGTTCGATCAACTGAAGGGGGCGGGCATATTTTCCAAGATTGACCTTCGATCTGGCTACCACCAAGTGAGGATAGCGGAGAAGGATATACCGAAGACTGCATTTCGTACGAGATATGGGCACTATGAGTTCACCGTGATGCCGTTTGGTCTAACCAACGCACCTGCGGTGTTCATGGACCTAATGAACCGTGTATTTCGCCCCTATCTTGATACATTTGTGGTGGTATTTATTGATGATATCCTAGTGTACTCGAAGAACGAGAAGGATCATGAAGAACATCTTAGGGTTGTTTTACAAACCTTGAGAGAGCATCAACTTTATGCCAAGCTTTCCAAGTGTGACTTTTGGAAAGACCGAGTAGCATTTCTGGGTCACATCATCACTCGAGATGGAGTGTCTGTGGACCCATCAAAGATCGAAGCGGTAACCGAGTGGCGAGCACCAACCACCGTCACTGAAGTGCGGAGTTTTCTTGGGTTAGCGGGCTACTATCGAAGATTTGTCAAAGATTTCTCCAAGATAGCTAGACCATTAACTAATTTGATGAAGAAGACCACAAAGTTCCAGTGGACGGATGATTGTGAGAGAGCATTCGAGGAGCTGAAGAAAAGACTGACGACTGCACCAGTACTGACACTTCCTTCGGGAACTGATGGGTTTGAAATATATTGCGATGCATCCAAGAATGGACTAGGCTGTGTGCTGATGCAGAATGGGAAGGTAGTAGCTTATGCATCCCGACAACTAAGGGTGCATGAGGTCAACTACCCAACCCACGACCTTGAGTTAGCAGCAGTAGTGTTTGCTTTGAAGATATGGAGGCACTACTTATACGGACCACCGTGCAAGATATACACCGATCACAAAAGCCTTAAGTACATCTTCACCCAAAAAGAGCTTAACATGCGACAAAGGAGGTGGCTAGAGCTTGTCAAGGACTATGACCTTGAAATCCAATATCATGAGGGGAAAGCTAATGTCGTGGCAGATGCCTTAAGCAGGAAGACAGAGCATAGCAGCAAAGCAATGTGGATACTTCCAGAAGAGCTGTATCGGGAGTTCCAACGACTAGACTTGGAGGTGAAGGAGTGCGGTGAAGTAGAGAGTGAAATCCGGTTATACACAATGACCATTTTACCCTCTATCTTCAATGAAATCAAAGCGGGTCAATCAGGAGATGTGAAGCTTGAACGAGTCAAGGCTGGGATGAAGAATGGGGTCAACGGACCATTTCAGCTACACGAAGACGGGAGTATCCGCTATAAGGGAAGGTGGTGTGTCCCGATGAAGTGTGAGCACATCAAAAAGCAAATCATGGAAGAAGGACACAACACGCCCTATTCGGTACACCCGGGAGGAGACAAACTGTATAAAGATCTGAAGCAAAACTTTTGGTGGCCGAGAATGAAAAATGAAGTGGCAGAGTTTGTGGCTCAATGCTTAAACTGTCAAAAAGTGAAATCCGAGAGATGCAAGCCCAAGGGACTTGTGCAACCCTTGGAGGTACCAACGTGGAAGTGGGACTCAATCTCGATGGACTTTGTCGGGGGTTTTCCTTTAACAAAGTCCGGGAAGGATAAAATTTGGGTAATCGTTGATAGATTGACCAAGACCGCCAGGTTCATTCCCATGAATGAAACTTGGAGCATGGATAAGCTGGCAAAAACCTACATCAGGCATGTGGTCAAGTATCACGGTGTACCCCGAGATATTGTATCCGACAGAGATTCCAGATTCTTATCCCAATTTTGGAGGGAACTTCAAGCTGCTATGGGAACCACACTAAAGCTAAGCACATCATTTCATCCGATGACAGACGGTCAGACGGAAAGAACAATTCAGACACTCGAAGATATGCTGAGAGCATGTGTGCTGGACCTACAAGGGTCATGGGATGAACACTTGGACCTAATAGAGTTCTCATATAACAATAGCTATCATATGAGCATTAAAATGGCTCCATACGAGGCTCTATATGGTCAAAAGTGTAGAAGCCCTTTGTGCTGGGGTGATATGGTGGACCGGGTTGTCTTAGGGCCGCAATATTTGCAAGATACGATGGAGAAGATCAAGTCTATTCAAGCGAGAATGAAGGCAGCACAAGATAGACAAAAGTCATATGCGGACCTAGGAAGAAAACCAGCTGAGTTCGAGGTAGGAGAGAAAGTACTCCTAAAAGTCTCTCCCACTAAAGGCGTCATGAGATTTGGGAAGAAAAGCAAGTTGAGTCCTCGATTCATCGGACCTTACGAGATTCTGGAGAAGGTGGGGAGAGTAGCTTACAAACTGGCTCTACCCACGGAATTGAGCAAGGTAAGAAATAAATCCATTCTTTCAAAAGTTATTCATAAATTTGGTAAACAAACTGAGACGTTTTAACGTGTGCAAGGTACACGACGTTTTCCATATATCTCAACTGAAGAAGTATATCCGTGATGAGGCGCATATCTTAAACCCGGAGGTAAGAACCTCACTTTCAAAATAGCTAGGATGCTGGTAAACATTAAAATAACACATTATGTAATTAGGTGATTGAGTTGGACGAAACCTTGACGTATGAGGAAAGGCCTGTGAAGATTTTGGACACAAAGACACGTGAAACTCGGAGGAAGGCCATCAAAATGGTCAAAGTACTGTGGTCAAATCACTTGGCTGAAAATGCCACATGGGAGACCGAGGATGACATGAGAAAACGTTATCCCGAGCTGTTTAGTCAAGGTATAAAAAATTTAGTTACGGGGACGTAACCTCTTAAAGGGGGGTAGAATGTAACACTTAGTAATTTGATGTTATAGATAGTAGATATTAGTTTATGTTTCGGGACGAAACATCTTTTAAGGAGGGTAGATTGTGACACTTCGAAAATTTTAAATAAAATAAAATGAATAATTTAATTAACATTTTTATAATTAAGTTGACCAGAGAGTAAATTTCGGCTTGGATAATAAAAGTGAGATTTTTATACGTGCGATAGTTATACACTAAAAATAAAGATTAGTAGCTACAAGTATATCTTATGCATTAAAAAGAAGGAAAAAAAAATATATACAAACACATATACGGAGGTAGTATATAATACGACACACACAATTTAAAGTCATAGTAGCAAGTATAAAGGGGAGTGGACTTTTCAAACTTAATTATACGTATAATACTAATAACATTAAAATACAAGTAATAATAACCTACTAGATAAGAATTAAACTATACGACTTGCGCTACACACTTGCGAATTGATAAGAACTGCGAACGATCTACGCATTCTTCGCACATCAAAGCTAATCGGGTAGCTAGAACCTTCGGCCACTCCTATAAATAAAAGTCTTGCGATCAACCTACACTGCATCAAACCCACGAGCGACGAACTGCGCCGAAGAGAGAAAACTTCGTAAGAGAGCGAGAGAAAAGAGAAAGTGAGACTCAGCTTTGAGAGAGGTGAGGTTGTGACCGAAGCAGAAAACTGAGAGACGTCGGAGGAGGAGGAACTCGCCGGAGGAAGGGGAAGTTGCACGCATCTGCTAGATCGGTTGTCTTAAGAAGTCCGTCGCCGTCCGGCCACCGTGAGATTCGTCTGCTGCCGCCACCGTGCTACTCGACTGACGACCAGTGTAGGTAAGTACGTCCTCAACCCCTGCGATTTCCGGTGTTTCCACGTACGAAAAGATTAAAGAAACAAATTAAACGAATAGATACTTCGAAACTTACTGAATATCCAATGGGCTGAAATCATAAAGATAATAATACGGAGTATTGAATTAGGCCACTAACATAACAGATTAGTAGGTTGAATTGGTATATTGCATTATGGACTGTACTGTTCGAATAAAATAAATAAATTAATTACAACAATACAGTAAACATGAACATAATAATCATGGAATGTTTAGCGGTTATAAAATCAATAATTTAACTAGATTGAATAACTATTATCGAATGGATGGACTAATTGGATTAAAATGAAAGTTTGACTGTTAAACCCGATTGATTAGTGAAGCACTTTAAAATGGACATCATGATTATAATAAAATTAATAAACCAACTAATATGGTAAATATCTGACAAGGTAAATAAAAATAAATATCAAAGTATTATAAGTGACATTTTGTAACATGTAATAATATACATATACACATAAGATGTAACTTGTGGATGACAATCATACACATAGGTGTTCACAATAATACAAATAGAGGTAATAATATATGCAATGAACTTGCGGACTAGACTTAGAATGCATTAGAACAACCAACATTTACACATGCATGTTCATAATACTATGTATAATAATATTGAATAATAATGAAGAAATAATTCAAACCAATCACTCCATGTATGATTCAGCCTAGAATGATCGATCTACAGCTATAAATACAGCTTCCTTCCCATTCTAAATCACCACAAAGTGAAGAAAACGAGTAGAGAATATATATATATACTTACTCGCCGGAAAAATACACATATATAAATTTACGTAAGAAATTGCCTATAAACAAGAGAGGAGGGTCGTGAGAGGTCTAGGAATATTTCCCAATAAATTCCAGACCGATTCGTAGTCACCGGAGCATCCTAGAGGTCGCCGGAGTTGCAAGCCAAGGAAATGGGTCTTCAGCAAGTGCGGAAATTTGGCCGTAGATAGGGGTGGCGGAGCTTCTCCTCGACGTCAGGATCATTTTGCAACTTGAATCGTTTAAATCCGTTACCTGTAAGTAAAGTTATCGCTCGCCGAAGTTTTCGGGATTCCGGTCGCCGGAATCGCGACCTGGAGAAGCTGGGAAGGAGACAACCCAGTCTTCTTGGGCCGGGTCGCAAATTTGGGCCGGTTCGGCCCATTTTCAATAAAAATTAAAAATAAAATAGTAAATGAAATAAATAAAATCTGTAAAAATATAAATTAAATACCTGGTTTTAAAATACATATTCGGACCAAGAATAATTGAAAAATAATATTTGTAGCTATTTTTAATTGATTTAATTGTAATTGGGCCAATTTGTACATATTTAGTAAATAATTAACTAAATAACGAAATAAATTATGAAATAAATATTGGAGCAAGCTAGATTAAATATATGACTAACTAGGACATTTGGGACCATTTATAATTAATAAAAATTATGATTAGCATATTTAATTGTAATTAAACCGGTTAATAGATATATGAAATTAAGTGAATAAATAAGGGAAATAATTCTAAAATAAATATCTGGACAACCTAGGTCAAATATAGACCCAAAATGTAGTTATGGAATGTAATAAATTTATAAAGTCGATTTTTAAGCCATTTAATTTGATTAGGCCATATAAAACTAGTTAAGTAATTAAATAAGAAAATTTTGATATTAATGGTGAAATAAATAAATCACTAAGATTGAAAATAATGTTCTGGACTAAAAATGATGTTTGTAATAAAATAAGGAAAAGAAAATAAAGTTGGGTTATCTAGTATAAATGAATGACTATATTTGGACTCAATAAATAAATTATTGAATTAGTGGACTAATTAAATTAGTGTGATTAAATTAATAATTATTATCCTTGATTATTAGTGATTTGGACTCCATATATATTATTAAACTATTTGAACTCATAAAAAAAAATTAGTTGATTAATATAAACCAATTAATTAAGTAATGTGTACTTAGTGATTTAGTTAATTGACTTCATTGGAGTAGTTTAACTAAATGAATTAGTTTAATGGATAAATTGGTTAAATTATGGATGTGGTAATATTTTTGGACTTTATATAGAAAATTAAAACGAGATTAGAAGCTTATTATTGGCCTTAATTGAATTAGATTAATGTATTTAGCTATATTGCTATAATTAAACTTATTTATTGAATTTAGTTAGTTCAATTAAATTAGTAAATAAAATAAATAAAACTGGATGATTGGATTAATTAATTTAATTGGGTTAGTTAGTATAAATAAACCATTGAACTAATTAAAGTGGTTATTGAGATTAAACTATCATTAATTACTATTATTTTGAAATATTGTTTACATGAAATTACTATTAGAAGATTTATAAAAAAAAAAATTATGTACATTATGTAAACTGAATTTTTGGACTAAAAATACTTATTTAATTCGAAATGATGATATCATTATATAGTTAAACTAATTGGACCAGTTAACTATTTAACCAAATAAAATTAAAGAAAAATCGAGTTGGATTATTATAATTAAAGAAAATAATAAGAATGGGCTGGAAATAAAAATTTAGTAAGATTTATTAATTTAATTTAATATTCATATTTAAAGAAGGAATTATGAAGTTAAAGTAATTAAAGGTTGGATATATAAGAAATAACGAAATAATAGAATAGTTATTGATTTAGAATTTTGATCAATATTAGAAGAAGAATTCAAGTGAAGATCAAGCTAGAGATTTTATTAAGGAGATTATCGCAATTTAAGGTAAGTTCTATGTCAACCAAAATGTTTTGCCTCGTACTTATATGTATGCAATATTTGCACTATGTGAATTATTTATGAATTGGAAATTATATGTTTGACATGGATCGAATATTTTGACTATATGAATATTGGTGGATTATTACCTTTTATGGATGATTACATGTATATTCTTTTTATTAAAGAATATTGGTGGATTTATATTTATTACAAAGGATATTTTTGAGAAATTGTGACAAGAATGATTTGGGGAAAACTTAAAGTTTTCATAATATATATTCTTACGTCTCGAGAGAAACACGAGGCGTGGGTGGTTAGGGCTACTACTACTTTTGGTGAAATTTATTTGGGTCGGTAACCAGTCCGGCAATGACATACTCCGGTAGACATCCCGGGCTTTTATTTGAGGATCAAAGATCCTTTGGTGGTCGTAGTAGTAGTTACCTAATTTACCCTTGGACAATGTCCCTTGTGAGTAGGTGGTAGAAAACATCCTGCCTACTTGGGTTTCTTACTACTCGGAGGGCTTGGAATCCCTTTTAGAGGGTGTGCACACTTAAGGTAGAAATTCAGCTTCCAATTGGTGGTCGGTGGGAGCCGGAATTCCGGGATGAGTCGTAGATAACAACGACTCATTGGGCTCGAGGAATCTTGAGTTTCGCCCACTCTTAAAAGAATCTAAAGTATTACTTTTGGAGGAATTGAAGGATGATCTTATCTATTGTGGAAATTATTTTATGACATTAAACCATTTTGAAAATATGAGAGACTACTTTTCAATACATATATACATATACAAAAACCTATTTTCCAAATTATATTATTTTACGGGTTCGGGTGGAATCTTACTTAGCTCTAAAGCTAATTTTTGTCTCTTTTTCTCTTTTTCTCTTTGCTCTATTGTACAGATGATTATGATTATGAAGATTGATGTACTTGCTGCCCGAGTGTTCCGCTAGTTGCACACGTTTGATTAATTATTGTTGTTTAAATTTGTAATCCATAAACTTGTTTTAAGCTTTATCCAATGGCTACTTGAATTTATGGTGGATAGCCTGTGCACTCAATCATGTATAGGTTGAGTGTGGCGGTGACACACCTGTTTTTCCATTAAAGACTTCCGCTGTACTCTAAATATGTTTTATAATAAAGATGTTTTCATTTCAAAATGTTATTTTATTTTGGTGGGAAAAATGGGGGTGTTACAAGTTGGTATCAGAGCCTTAGGTTTTCCAAAGGGATTAGAACACGAGGTAATAGGTTGTATGGAGAAATTCTGTCACCAAGACGATAAGAGTCTAAGGTTGTTGGTTCTTAATTGAGCCTTTGCGCTCGTCCAACTACCTGGGAATTTCTCCTTGTGCTGAAACTTCGTCGTTCGAAATCGTTGAAGGAAACCTTTGAAATTGTACCTTCAAAAGGGAGATTTTCAAATATTTTTAAAATTAGGAAAGATAATATAGCTAGGAAATGGCCTTTTAGGAACGTGGTGAGGACCTTGTGAGTATTTATTTTCCTTACATGTATCATGTATGTGATAATTATGCTAATTGTGGGCCCATATGAGAAATGGGAACCCCAAATGCTAAATGGAATGCCTCATAAGGCAAAATTCCTAAGTGGCTAAGGTATGTACAAACATTATGTGCGAAAGTGATCTTATGTGAAGTATGAATCCTCTGTATGATTGTTATGTACATTTTATATATTCTTGTTACATAGCCTATGGAATCCTTAGTTGAACTAGGACCCTTAGGAGTAAAATATAGAAATTCTTACACGAATACTTTGTGTCATCAAGATATCATGGCACCAAGAAGAGACCCTGATAACACGCCCACCAATGCTGAGTTGGCACAAAGCGTTCAGCAACTGGCACAATTTATGCACACACTGGGTGCTACTGTGCTCCAGAACAACCAAAACCAGAACAACGGGAATGATGCCGCAAAACGAGTGGCATCTCGCAACCCTCCAAGCTTTCATGGGCAAGAAGATCCTCGTATCCTCGAGAATTGGCTCCGACTCTTTGACAAACTCTTCGACGCGGTGAGCTGTCCGGAAGAGCAAAGGGTTGACATTGCTGTTTACTATTTACAGCAAGAGGCAGATAACTGGTGGGTCTCATCAGGCCCAACTTTACGTCAACAACCTGACTTCAATTGGGAAGCTTTCAAGATTGCCATGAGGAAACGTTTTTATCCTGCACACGTTCAGGCCACCATGCGTGATGAATTCATACATTTGAAACAGATGGGCATGAGTGTCGAGGAATATCACAATAAATTCGTGGACCTCGCGCCATTTGCGAAAACAATAGTGCCTGATGAAAGCACCAAAGTTGAGAAATTTATCTACGGATTAAACTATGATATGCAGAAAATCGTCGCTGTTTTGGGTTGCCAAACTCTGACTGAAGCTTATGATAGAGCTGCAGTTCACTATCGAGTTCAGCAACTACAAAGAGAGAGGAACCAGAAGATGAAGAGGGACGAAGATGGAGGTCGAGGAGAAAAGAGGGTCAGAGTGCACCCACCTACACAGCAACAAGAAGGGAGGAGGAGGAGAGATGACCAAGGTGGAAGAAATTTCCACGGTCAAAACCAACAAAATGATCGAAGAGCTGCTCCCAGAGATAGACACTTCTACTGCAAGAGGTGCAGGAGAGATCATCCTGGTGTTAATTGCGATGGAAGCCTGACAAAATGTTTCAATTGTGGGAAGCTAGGGCACCGAACCTTCGAGTGTCTCTCAAAGACCAATGGGGCACCAGTGCACCAGGTGCAATACCGTGATGGAGGAAGGCCAGATATGAACCAAGCTGGGCCAAATGGAGGACAAAATAACAACAACAATGCCGCCGCCAACAACAACCGCAACCCTCGAGGAGGAGGGGAGAATAATCATGGCAATGGCAATGGCGGGAACAATGGCAACGGCGGAAACAACGGCAACCGTCCGAACCAAGGGCGAATCATGGTGATGAATCAGGCCCAAGCCAATGCTAATGATGTGGTTTCAGGTACATTCCTTGTAAATTCTGAGCCTGCTTATGTTCTATTTGATTCTGGTGCTTCTCACAGTTTCATATCTTCTAGTTTCGTTAAGAAATTGAAGATTGAACCAACGGCTAGAATAGACTTGAATGTAAGAACCGCCTCAGATAAATTTGTAACTTGTGGAAATGTATACTCCAACATTCCCATACTCATATCTGAATCCAACCTACCTGGAGATTTAATCCAATTTGACTTAAAAGATATTGACATAGTACTGGGCATGGATTGGTTGGGGAAATACAAAGCCAGGATCCTCTGTGATGAACAGAAGGTGATCTTGAAGGGTCCAAATGGGAAGCGAATATCTTACAAAGCAATCACATCCAAGCCTAGTATGAGGCTGATGACTATGCAACAATTAAGGCGACATATCCGAAAGGGGTATGAAACATACCTGTGCTTTATGAAAGAGGTGAATACAGGGGAGCCAAACATTGACCAAATTGCCGTAGTCAATGAATTTCCGGATGTATTTCCGGAAGAGATTCCAGGGATGCCACCCGAGAGAGAAGTTGAATTCTCAATTGAGTTGATGCCCGGAACCGCGCCAATTTCAAAAGCACCTTACCGGATGGCACTGAAAGAAATGCAGGAGCTGAAGGAACAACTAGAGGAGTTGTTAGAGAAGGGGTACATAAGACCGAGTGTCTCACCTTGGGGCGCTCCGGTCTTATTTGTCAAAAAGAAAGATGGGAGTCTAAGGCTATGCATCGATTACCGAGAGTTGAATCAAGCAACTATCAAGAACAAGTATCCATTGCCCCGAATTGACGACTTGTTTGATCAATTGAAGGGGGCTAGCACATTCTCTAAGATAGACTTGCGCTCTGGATATCATCAAGTGAGAATATCTGAAAAAGATGTACCAAAAACAGCATTCCGCACGAGGTATGGACACTACGAGTTCACTGTGATGCCGTTTGGTTTAACAAATGCACCGGCGGTATTCATGGACCTAATGAACCGTGTATTCCGACCTTACCTTGACACATTTGTGGTGGTATTCATCGATGATATTCTTGTGTATTCAAAAACCCCGGAAGATCACAAGAAACATTTGAGACTCACGTTACAAACTTTGAGAGAGAACCAGTTGTATGCCAAACTCTCAAAGTGTGACTTCTGGCAGGATCGGGTAGCGTTCTTGGGTCACATCATCACCCAGGAAGGCGTATCCGTAGATCCATCGAAGATTGAAGCGGTGGTTGAATGGCGTGCACCTACCTCGGTCACAGAGGTAAGAAGTTTCTTGGGTCTAGCGGGATACTATAGGAGATTTGTTAAAGATTTCTCCAAGATAGCAAGACCGCTAACCAACCTGACAAAGAAGACAACCAAATTCCAATGGAATGAAGATTGTGAAGCAGCATTCCAAGAGTTGAAGAAAAGACTCACAATTGCGCCGGTCTTGACACTACCGTCAGGGACGGAGGGATTTGATATCTATAGTGATGCATCCAAGAAGGGGTTGGGGTGTGTGCTAATGCAAAATAGGAAAGTGGTGGCTTATGCATCAAGACAACTAAAGGTGCATGAAGTCAATTATCCTACCCATGACCTGGAGTTAGCTGCAGTAGTGTTTGCTTTGAAAATCTGGAGACATTACCTATACGGAGCACATTGTAAGATATACACTGACCACAAAAGCTTGAAGTACATATTCACTCAAAAAGAGCTTAACATGAGGCAAAGAAGATGGCTCGAGCTTATCAATGATTACGATCTAGAAATCCAATACCACGAGGGAAAAGCTAACGTGGTGGCGGATGCTTTGAGCCGGAAATCTGAGCACTCATGCCGAGCAACATGGATATTACCAGAAGAACTATTCCGAGACTTCCAAAGATTGAGCTTGGAAGTAAAGCAATATGGCGAAGTAGATGGTGAAATACAGTTATGTACTATGACTGTTATACCATCTATCTTTGACGAAATCAAGAACGGACAACCGGGAGATGTAAAGCTCGAAAGAATCAAGGAAGGAATGAAAGATGGCGTCAACGGACCATTTAAGGTACATGAAGATGGGAGCATCCGATACAAGGGAAGGTGGTGTGTTCCACTGAAGTGTACAGATATTAAAAAACAAATCATGGAGGAGGGACACAACACGCCCTACTCGGTACATCCCGGGGGAGACAAACTATACAAAGACCTCAAAAAGAACTTTTGGTGGCCGGGAATGAAGAAAGAAGTAGCTGAATTTGTATCCCGATGTTTGAACTGCCAAAAAGTCAAAGCGGAGAGATGCAAACCCAAGGGACTCGTGCAACCCTTGGAAGTACCAACATGGAAATGGGATTCAATCTCAATGGACTTTGTCGGGGGTTTACCTTTAACAAAGTCCGGGAAAGATAAAATTTGGGTGGTAGTGGATAGATTGACCAAAACTGCAAGGTTCATTCCTATGAATGAAACCTGGAGCATGGAGAAACTGGCAAAAGCCTATGTCAAACACGTGGTCAAACACCACGGAGTACCTCAAGACATCGTATCAGACCGAGATTCACGATTCTTATCCCAATTTTGGAAAGAATTACAAACGGCTATGGGAACAAAATTGAAGTTAAGTACTGCTTTCCATCCAACCACGGACGGACAGACCGAAAGAACAATCCAAACATTAGAAGACATGTTGAGGGCATGTGTTCTTGATTTGCAAGGATCATGGGATGAACACCTAGACTTGGTAGAGTTTTCGTACAATAACAGTTACCATGCTAGCATCAGAATGGCCCCATACGAAGCTCTATATGGTCAAAAGTGTAGGAGTCCCTTATGTTGGGGTGACATGGTCGATCAGGTGGTTCTAGGACCACAATACTTGCAAGATACTATTGAGAAAATCAAGGTCATCCAAGAAAGGATGAAGGCTGCCCAAGACCGACAGAAATCATATGCCGATCTTGGGAGAAAACCAGCTGAATTCGAACTAGGGGAGAAAGTTCTACTCAAAGTCTCTCCTACAAGAGGCGTAATGAGGTTCGGGAAGAAAGGGAAACTAAGTCCGAGATTCATCGGACCCTATGACATCCTAGAGAAGGTGGGAAAAGTGGCATATCGATTAGCTCTACCCACGGAGTTGGATAAGGTAACAACCGATTTGAAATCAAATACTTCTCTACAATTAAAATACATTCTTAACATACCGATATATGCTAGGTACATAACGTCTTTCACGTATCACAATTAAAGAAGTATGTTCGAGATGAGTCACATATCATCAATCCGGAGGTAAGAAATCCTAGACTAAACATGAGCCAAACGTAAATTGAAAAGAATATAAGTTAACCGTTATATTATTAGGTGATTGAAATGGATGAGACATTATCCTACGAAGAAAAACCCATAGAGATTCTCGATACTAAGACCCGAGAGACAAGGAAGAAGACAGTTAAGATGGTAAAAGTACTTTGGTCAAACCATTTGACCGAGAATGCAACATGGGAGACAGAAGAGGATATGCGTAAACGGTATCCTGAACTTTTCAATTAAGGTAAATATTCGGTTACGAGGACGTAACCTTTCTTTTAGGGGGGCAGGTTGTCATATCTTATAAACCTATAATAATTCATCTTCATACTTAATTCGCGTCTTAGTTTATGCTTCGAGGACGAAGCATTCTTTAAGGAGGGTAGAATGTGATACCTTGAAAATTTGAAATAAAAATAAATAAATAAATCAGATAAGTTATATCTGATAAATCAAATGAAAGTAAGATCAAAATATTTTTTTTTATACTTGGTGTATAAAAATATACGCACACTACATGCAATGAAAATTAAACACTTATGTGGCATCGGAAAAAAAAAAATAAATAAATAAATAAAAATAAAAATAAATCAGATAAAATATATCTGACAAGGTAAATAAAAATAAATATCAAAGTATTATAAGTGACATTTTGTAACATGTAATAATATACATATACACATAAGATGTAACTTGTGGATGACAATCATACACATAGGTGTTCACAATAATACAAATAGAGGTAATAATATATGCAATGAACTTGCGGACTAGACTTAGAATGCATTAGAACAACCAACATTTACACATGCATGTTCATAATACTATGTATAATAATATTGAATAATAATGAAGAAATAATTCAAACCAATCACTCCATGTATGATTCAGCCTAGAATGATCGATCTACAGCTATAAATACAGCTTCCTTCCCATTCTAAATCACCACAAAGTGAAGAAAACGAGTAGAGAATATATATATATACTTACTCGCCGGAAAAATACACATATATAAATTTACGTAAGAAATTGCCTATAAACAAGAGAGGAGGGTCGTGAGAGGTCTAGGAATATTTCCCAATAAATTCCAGACCGATTCGTAGTCACCGGAGCATCCTAGAGGTCGCCGGAGTTGCAAGCCAAGGAAATGGGTCTTCAGCAAGTGCGGAAATTTGGCCGTAGATAGGGGTGGCGGAGCTTCTCCTCGACGTCAGGATCATTTTGCAACTTGAATCGTTTAAATCCGTTACCTGTAAGTAAAGTTATCGCTCGCCGAAGTTTTCGGGATTCCGGTCGCCGGAATCGCGACCTGGAGAAGCTGGGAAGGAGACAACCCAGTCTTCTTGGGCCGGGTCGCAAATTTGGGCCGGTTCGGCCCATTTTCAATAAAAATTAAAAATAAAATAGTAAATGAAATAAATAAAATCTGTAAAAATATAAATTAAATACCTGGTTTTAAAATACATATTCGGACCAAGAATAATTGAAAAATAATATTTGTAGCTATTTTTAATTGATTTAATTGTAATTGGGCCAATTTGTACATATTTAGTAAATAATTAACTAAATAACGAAATAAATTATGAAATAAATATTGGAGCAAGCTAGATTAAATATATGACTAACTAGGACATTTGGGACCATTTATAATTAATAAAAATTATGATTAGCATATTTAATTGTAATTAAACCGGTTAATAGATATATGAAATTAAGTGAATAAATAAGGGAAATAATTCTAAAATAAATATCTGGACAACCTAGGTCAAATATAGACCCAAAATGTAGTTATGGAATGTAATAAATTTATAAAGTCGATTTTTAAGCCATTTAATTTGATTAGGCCATATAAAACTAGTTAAGTAATTAAATAAGAAAATTTTGATATTAATGGTGAAATAAATAAATCACTAAGATTGAAAATAATGTTCTGGACTAAAAATGATGTTTGTAATAAAATAAGGAAAAGAAAATAAAGTTGGGTTATCTAGTATAAATGAATGACTATATTTGGACTCAATAAATAAATTATTGAATTAGTGGACTAATTAAATTAGTGTGATTAAATTAATAATTATTATCCTTGATTATTAGTGATTTGGACTCCATATATATTATTAAACTATTTGAACTCATAAAAAAAATTAGTTGATTAATATAAACCAATTAATTAAGTAATGTGTACTTAGTGATTTAGTTAATTGACTTCATTGGAGTAGTTTAACTAAATGAATTAGTTTAATGGATAAATTGGTTAAATTATGGATGTGGTAATATTTTTGGACTTTATATAGAAAATTAAAACGAGATTAGAAGCTTATTATTGGCCTTAATTGAATTAGATTAATGTATTTAGCTATATTGCTATAATTAAACTTATTTATTGAATTTAGTTAGTTCAATTAAATTAGTAAATAAAATAAATAAAACTGGATGATTGGATTAATTAATTTAATTGGGTTAGTTAGTATAAATAAACCATTGAACTAATTAAAGTGGTTATTGAGATTAAACTATCATTAATTACTATTATTTTGAAATATTGTTTACATGAAATTACTATTAGAAGATTTATAAAAAAAAATTATGTACATTATGTAAACTGAATTTTTGGACTAAAAATACTTATTTAATTCGAAATGATGATATCATTATATAGTTAAACTAATTGGACCAGTTAACTATTTAACCAAATAAAATTAAAGAAAAATCGAGTTGGATTATTATAATTAAAGAAAATAATAAGAATGGGCTGGAAATAAAAATTTAGTAAGATTTATTAATTTAATTTAATATTCATATTTAAAGAAGGAATTATGAAGTTAAAGTAATTAAAGGTTGGATATATAAGAAATAACGAAATAATAGAATAGTTATTGATTTAGAATTTTGATCAATATTAGAAGAAGAATTCAAGTGAAGATCAAGCTAGAGATTTTATTAAGGAGATTATCGCAATTTAAGGTAAGTTCTATGTCAACCAAAATGTTTTGCCTCGTACTTATATGTATGCAATATTTGCACTATGTGAATTATTTATGAATTGGAAATTATATGTTTGACATGGATCGAATATTTTGACTATATGAATATTGGTGGATTATTACCTTTTATGGATGATTACATGTATATTCTTTTTATTAAAGAATATTGGTGGATTTATATTTATTACAAAGGATATTTTTGAGAAATTGTGACAAGAATGATTTGGGGAAAACTTAAAGTTTTCATAATATATATTCTTACGTCTCGAGAGAAACACGAGGCGTGGGTGGTTAGGGCTACTACTACTTTTGGTGAAATTTATTTGGGTCGGTAACCAGTCCGGCAATGACATACTCCGGTAGACATCCCGGGCTTTTATTTGAGGATCAAAGATCCTTTGGTGGTCGTAGTAGTAGTTACCTAATTTACCCTTGGACAATGTCCCTTGTGAGTAGGTGGTAGAAAACATCCTGCCTACTTGGGTTTCTTACTACTCGGAGGGCTTGGAATCCCTTTTAGAGGGTGTGCACACTTAAGGTAGAAATTCAGCTTCCAATTGGTGGTCGGTGGGAGCCGGAATTCCGGGATGAGTCGTAGATAACAACGACTCATTGGGCTCGAGGAATCTTGAGTTTCGCCCACTCTTAAAAGAATCTAAAGTATTACTTTTGGAGGAATTGAAGGATGATCTTATCTATTGTGGAAATTATTTTATGACATTAAACCATTTTGAAAATATGAGAGACTACTTTTCAATACATATATACATATACAAAAACCTATTTTCCAAATTATATTATTTTACGGGTTCGGGTGGAATCTTACTTAGCTCTAAAGCTAATTTTTGTCTCTTTTTCTCTTTTTCTCTTTGCTCTATTGTACAGATGATTATGATTATGAAGATTGATGTACTTGCTGCCCGAGTGTTCCGCTAGTTGCACACGTTTGATTAATTATTGTTGTTTAAATTTGTAATCCATAAACTTGTTTTAAGCTTTATCCAATGGCTACTTGAATTTATGGTGGATAGCCTGTGCACTCAATCATGTATAGGTTGAGTGTGGCGGTGACACACCTGTTTTTCCATTAAAGACTTCCGCTGTACTCTAAATATGTTTTATAATAAAGATGTTTTCATTTCAAAATGTTATTTTATTTTGGTGGGAAAAATGGGGGTGTTACACCTGGCTTCTGTGACTCAGACACTCCCAGGTGCCCTTGAAACTATCAAAGATAATAATGCTACCGAATTCTCCAAAATCGAACTCCTGCTTGGTGATCTTGTTGATGCCAAAAAGGGGGAAGAAATCAGAGAACCTGCTAGAGCCATCAGAGCTGCAGAAGGAACTAGCACCAGAGCTGTTGATCCTGCTGTATACTTTGAAAGGGCAAGGCAAAAGAGGATTGCTGCTGGTACTCAGAGACCAACTCTTCCAAGATCAAAGAAAGGAAAGAAGTCAACTTTCACTCTTGCTCAATGGCTTAAAAGTGATCTAGCTAAACCTGATGCTGCTCAATTTCAAGAAATGAAGAAGCACATGACACCTCTCCAACAGGAAAATCTTATTCTGGATAGAGATGGGACGATCATCATAAATCATGGTGGCTCCATGCAAGAAGCAGAGGATTGGTGGCACATGAAAGTGATCCCTGGCAAGGACATTTCTGAAGCCATCAGAAATTACCTTGATTGCAAGCTTGAACCTGCCTGGTCAGAGTGTCAGAACCCAAGGAACTTGGCCTCCATCAGAGCAAAGGTAAATGCTGATCTGAAGGAAATTGAAGCAAAAGAAGCTGAACTAGAAGAGGAAGATATCTAAACTCTATCCTCTTGTTGCTTTAAATATCTTTCATTAATAAGATAACCAGCTTGCCTCTATTTTGCATGGCAATGTCAAATTACTTCTATTTTGCACTCTGATTATTTATGCTCTGATATCAATTGTGTCATTTCTTATCTTTGTTTATTTGATTGATTGTATCTTACTCTTGCTATTTTCCTATGCCAAGTGCCCACCAAGATTCTAAATGAAAGTTTATTTTTTAACTTATTTTCCCTATGGTGAAAGGCACTTCTCTGGAAATAGTTTAAGGGTTTTGGCATCATCAAAAAGGGGGAAATTGTAAGGAATAAATGTAATTAGATTTTGATGATGCTAGGATAATTAGATCAGAAAGTTAAAGTACCCCCAATTAGATTTTATGTATTAGAATTTTCAATTGTAAGTATTAGTGTAGTCGACGATCAGAGTTGCTCTGCTTTGGATCAGATCAGAAGTGCATCAGATTTACTCGACCAGACTTGCTCTATGAGAACTGCTCCATCAGAGTTCTCTTATCAGAAGTCCGTCAGAGTTGCATCATGAGAGTTGCTGATAAATTTGGACATCTGATAACCAATGAGAGTTACAGATCAGAGGTACTCATCAGCGGACCTATCAGAGTCAACAGAAATCAGAAAGCCATCAGAACTCAACTCATCAGAAAGCCATCAGAACTCAGAAAGCCATCAGAATCTCCAACACATCAGAAGAGCCTGATCAGAGCCCGACTAACACTTAGAAGATTTCAAGCAACATCCAACAGCTATGAATCCAACGGGTAAAAACATCCAACGGCTAGAAGACTGTGCATGAAAGGAAAGCATTTAATGCACATTAAATGAGCCTGATACGCTGAGGGATTGATTGCAAATGATTGACCAAGGAATCCGGGAAGATATATTATAAAAATAGAAACCTTCCAAAACGGCGGTCAAGTCAACTGTACGCGCAATTAATGCAGTTGTCTCCTCCTCCAACGGGCAGACAACCCCAGTATATAAGCTACAAACCGAAGAACAGGACATAACGCTCTTTGCAAAAACTTTTGCTCCATTCATTAACTCTGAACATACTTCTTGAGATTCAACCTTCATAACACTCTACAAGAAAAGTTCTACGTTGGGAAGATTCAAACTTCAAATCTTTCATCCCCAACAACGAGCAAAGTTCATCCTGTTCTTCAACACTTCAAGATCTTCATCTACATATCTTTTGTAACGAAGCAAGTTGGAGAAAACTCTGTTTTCAAAACATCTTCTGCAAAGAAGGGCGTCCAAGTAACTGCAGTAGTGAAGTGGTGATACTTCCGGGAAGCTGAGTTAAAGGACCAGCCATCAGGACGTGGAATTGCATCCTGGGTGGCATCTAGGCTTGAAGAAGACAAGGAGTGCTTCTTAAGTGCTAGGAATTAGCTTTGTAACCGATCTACTTCAAAGCTAGTGGAACAGTGGACTAGAGGAACGCGTTGTTCCTTGAACCACTATAAAAATATCCGGTGTCATTTACTTTACTGCAATTTACATTTCTGCACGTAGGATATTAACTGATTAACTCTAAGACTTGGAATCTGTGTTCAGCAGATCTTGCTCTCAGAGTTATCAGAAAGGCATTTGCCTTAGTATTTCTGAGGCTACCCGGACAGATCAGAATCCGCTGCCAAGGCCAGTTCTGATATCAGAACCAGCCATTCTCTGTCACCAGAATCAGACCTTCTCTGATAAGTCATTTTGTACTTGGAGAAATTTTGAAAAACCAATCAGTCTATTCACCCCCCCCCCCCTCTAGACTGATTACCATATTAAACGGGACCAACACTTGTTCTCAAAGATATGGTTGCTTCAAAAACTGAATCTGTATCTAATATGGGGACTAGTATGAAATCCAAACTGGACAAGTACTTGGGTGATCCAGAAAAAATGAACATGCTCATTTTCTTTGCAAATGTGCTTGATCCTAGAGACAAATATGAGTACATGCCACATCAATTGAATGCTTTGTATGGGGATAAGATAGGTGAGGCATTCTTTGCAAAGATAAAGCTGGGTTTGAATGAGTTGTATGGTGATTATGTTACAAACTATGATGTTTCAGTCAGTGGAAGCTCTCAATTAACCCCCAGTTCTGTTTCTTTACAATCTGAGTCAACTGAAAGTAGGCATGTATCAAAATTCAAAGCCCAATTGAAAAAGCAAAAACAAGATAGTGGCCTCTTAGGGTTGAAAAAAAATGAACTTGAACTATATTTGAGTGAGAACATTCTTGAGGAGGACAGTGAATTTGATATACTGAGATGGTGGAAGCTTAATGGTGAGAGGTTTCCTATCCTATCTAAGATGGCAAGAGACATTCTTGCTGTTCCTATTTCCACAGTAGCATCTGAATCCACTTTTAGTACAAGTGGAAGAGTGTTGGACTGTTTTAGGAGTTCTTTGAGTGCCAAAATTGTAGAAGCACTCATATGTGCTCAAGACTGGTTGAGGATGTCAAACCAGCCTATGTCAGTTGAAGAAAATATTGAGGAGGTAGAAAGGATGGAAACAGGTACTAACTTTTACTTATTTACTATTCAGTGTTTATATTTATACATATTGTTAACTTGTTATTGTTTTCAATGCAGAATTAACTAATGGCAATGTTGGTGGAGGCCCTTCTCTTGATGAGATAGTAGTATACTTTTTACCTTTATCTTTTAGATATGTAATATATTATTTCACTAATGATTTGTTATGCTTGTGTCAATGATCTGGCTGTAAAAGCCTAACCATGTTGCTGTCATGGTATTGGAAGTGTTGCTGATTCACTGGTACAATTTCACCTAATTACTGTGTTTGTACTTTGTACAACAAGACATGGTGATCTTCTTTCACTCTTGAGTTAATTGATTAAGTGTAGCATGTATCTGGCAATGATGATAGCTTCCACCAAAAATGAAATTGATGGGTTGGTGTTGATTCTATTTCCATATAGTTTCGTATGCCCCCATTAATGGTGAAGTCAATTTAAATCTGAGCCAAATATAACAAGATACATGCTGCCTTAAGGGAAGTACTGGAAATCTGGAATTTGGTAATGTGAACATTGAGTTAATTGATTAAGTGTAGCATGTATCTGGCAATGATGATAGCTTCCACCCAAAATGAAATTGATGGGTTGGTGTTGATTCTATTTCCATATAGTTTCGTATGCCCCCATTAATGGTGAAGTCAATTTAAATCTGAGCCAAATATAACAAGATACATGCTGCCTTAAGGGAAGTACTGGAAATCTGGAATTTGGTAATGTGAACATTGAGTTAATTGATTAAGTGTAGCATGTATGATGTATCTGGCAATGATGATAGCTTCCACCAAAAATGAAATTGATGGGTTGGTGTTGATTCTATTTCCATATAGTTTCGTATGCCCCCATTAATAGTGAAGTCAATTTAAATCTGAGCCAAATATAACAAGATACATGGTGCCACTTAGACTGTAAACTAGAATTTGCTTATGCATATGTATTTATGACTTATGAGTTATTAGATTAATTGTTGCATTATTTAAGCAGTGATGATAGTTTCCACCCAAAAAATTAAATTAAGAATACAAAACTGAGTCAAATTAAGGATATGTTGCTTGCTGCCTTGGTTTTACTACTGCAATTTTCCTATGTACTTATGAATTCTGAGTTCGTACATGAATTGTAGAATTACTTACTTAGTTACTTTGGCAATGATGATGGCTTCTAGCCTTCTACAGTTCTACGAGGAAATGAAATAAATGGGTTTGGTGTTGATTCTAATTATAAAGTGATTAATGCCCCCATTATTAGTGAACTGAAATTTAATCTGAGCCAAATCTTATTGTATTTCTATATACTTTTGAATTTTTTTGTACTTCCCACTTCCCAAGTTCCCAGTATAGTTTAGTGTTTTATGATACTAATGTGCTTGTGACTTACATAGGAACAAAATCAATGATTGTTTGGTTGATGATCTGCTAAATTGCTCAAACCTGGAATTCTGGAAACACTATAGTAGTCAAGTGATGTCAAGAGTCAAGATTTGAAGACTTGTACATCAATTGAATGTTGTTAAACTTTTTGTTGGTACTTGTTGTTTTGGAACATTTGATTGGTCAAACTCTAAATGTTAAACTGCTTTATGCATAAGCAGTATAATTGTGTAAGTGTATAAGTAAGTACCAAGTAATATTGGAGTAATGTGTATGACTGTATGAGTGTATAAGTGTATAAGTTAGTTGTATTTGGAGTTGTACAAACTCTACTAATTTTGCAATTGCTTTTGATAACATATTATTATGTATTCTATTTGTGTTTGTAAAGTTTAGTTGTACAAAATTTTATTTTCAAGCTGATTTTATGAATTATTCATGTTATGTTTTTAATGGATTTTAATCAGCCCGAATGAGCCCGAAAACCGATTAAAACCGACCCAAATCCGAAATTGTGCAACCCGATTAGCCCGAAATCTTTTTTGGACGGGGTAGGGTTTTATATTCTCAGCCCGATAACCGAAAGGGTATGCAAAAACCCAACCCGTCCTACCCGAACCCGTCCGATGCTCTCCCCTACTTGAGGGCCATCTCCCTCCAAAGTTCTTCCGCCGGACGGCTCAAAGGCAGGGAGTCGGCATCTTCAAGCAGAGGGCCAATGGAGGCTGCCTCACGGCCCCTCTTTTGCTTCTTTTCGGGGACCTTCTCTGTCCCCTTCTGAGGAGCCACCTTCGAGGGGGCGACCGGTGGTGGAAGGGCAGCCTCAAGAGCAGGGGCCCTGGACCCCTGAGCCAGCATAGTGGCAATTAAGTGCTGCTCGCCCTCAGCCGTTCGCCGGGCAGCATCGGAAGCCGAGGAGTTGGAGTCCGAGGCGGGGGCGTTCTTGGCTTTCGCCATTGCGGCTTTAGCAGCAGCCGCCTTGGCCTTCCTGGTTTTCAGACACTCAGCGTGATTCATCTGAGCTCTATCTGGTGGAGAACCTGCAGAAAACAGTAAAGGGTCAAAAGACGAGCGGAGGATATGACAAGACACTCACCTCGAAGGACAGGACCGCCCGGTGCCCCGAGACGAGCGTCGAAGGGTGGAAAAAGTCCAGGAACACGGGCGGTACCTATGCCTGCCCCCGAGAGTGCCTCGAAGGTCAGATAGCCGGCTATGGGGCGAATGCCGCCCTGCAGGATTTCTTCCACGTCCTCGCTCAAGTTATTGGTCAACTCCGGCGACTCTATCTTGGGGGGATAGCCGTTCCAACGAACCGGGAGGGGAGGGCCGTCATATCGAAGGAAGAAGAACCGGTTCTTCCAATCATGAATGGAGGAGGGGTAGCTATTAAACAACCTCCTCCCCGGACGTGCGGCCACGCTCAGGTAGCCGTCGGAATTCTGAGGGGTGATCCGGAAAAAGTAGTGGAACAGATCCAAGGTGGCATTGACTCCCGCAAGCTTACAGCGCACCAAGAAGGCCGATATGAACCTATAAGAATTTGGCATGAATTGCGTCGGGGCCACTTGGAAGCAGTGGAAGAACTCCACATAAAATGCATGAAGTGGAAACCGCAGCCCAGCTTCAACGGAGTCCAAGTGAAGCATGATCATCCCCGGACGTCTCCTCATTACGTGCTCGGCGCCTCTCACGCTCCAGACGAACGGCGGGGGGAAGAAGGTGCGGATTTTGTTGAGAGCCACGCGGGAGAGGACTTGATCATGGTCAAGGGCGCTTCTGATCGGACAGATGTGGCGCTCCATGTCCGTAGGGATACCCAGATCATGCACCTCCATGTCAGAACCGGATTCGGCCTCCTCCCTAGAATCATAATTGGCGGGGCGCTCATTCAGGGGGACTGCGTCAATGATGTCTACTGCCCCGTCAACGCTCCCATCTCCGGCGTCGCTCCTACTACCTTGGGAAGCGTCGCCCGGCTCCCCATCGGCCCGGATGGTCCCCACCGTCGTGGCCGAACCAGAAGTCCCAGAAACGCTGGCCTTTCCGGGGGAGCGCGCATTCACATTGTCAGAAGGGGAGCCCGAAGAGGAACCCGATGAACCGGAATCGGAACTTGACGAAATCTCCATCGAAGTCATTTCGGCTAGAAGTCAGAACAAAGAAAAGAAGCAAGGAAGGGAAATTACCTTACAAGGGGACTAGCCGAACTCGGAAGCGGGGGAGAAGATTGAGG